AGCACCTTGCTCTTCCGTTCAGGCTGGCCCCAGGGTTCCTGTGCAGTCTAGACTGGCACCAAACTCCTGGCGGTCCTCCTGCTCCCGGCCTGCTCGGGGCTTAGACTACAGGCGCACACCACTGTGCTGCTGCTGCTTGGCTTTGCCCTTCTCTGCTCTTCCCCTTTCTCCTTTACCCACGCTCCTCCCTTTCCATCTTTCTTTCCTTTCTCCTTTCTCTTCCCAACCTCCACCTCCTATCCTTCCCTTCCTCCCTCCTTCCTCTTCTTCTCACCCCCACTTTTCCCCTCGTACGCCCCCTTTTTCTTCTCTTTCTCATATTCTAAACTGATTCCCTGCACAGGCACCAAATCGTACAGTCAAGTGGTGTGTTCACAGGCCTAGAAAAGACCGTCTATCAGTTCTTGTCTCCACTGGCGATGAGGGCTGTTTCCATCTGTTTGTTACTTTACCTCTCGCTAGTGGGATCAAGATCAGAAAATAGGCTAGCTGGATTTACAAAGACCTAGTAGGACAAACTGAAGTAAGAGCAAAGAGCTGAGGAAATACTCCGGAAGTGCCATTTCCAGCAGAGTAAAGAAGAGTGTGTATTATAACTGCCTTACAATGCCAGGAATCCCCCAGGAAGGGCTATTGATCCGCCCCAGAGCTCCTCGTCAGGGTTGGTAGCATTGTTTTCTAAAATTAAGTTCACTTGCTTAATGTTATCACACAGCTACTTTGATTTAATTTCCTAAACAGACACTGCCCCAGGTGTTGGTTGGATGAACATATTTGTATCACATAATTGAATGTTTTAATAATGAGCAGTTTTTCTGTTACTTGCTTTTCAGGTTCTGGTCACAATTTATGCTGATTACATTGCCCCTTTGTTTGACAAATTCACACCTCTTCCTGAGGGAAAGCTTAAACAGGAAATTGAAGTGATGGCAAAGAGTATTGACTTTCCTCTGACTAAGGTGTACGTTGTTGAAGGTAAGGCTACCTGGACGTGAGAAGGGTTTAGTAACTGCTTTGTTTTGAGCGCTTTATCCTTAAATAAGTCTTTATTGTTTGTTTTAAATTTGTTACTTAAAAACAGGGTAAGATTTTACATTTGGCTTTTTAAGCTTTATAGGAACTGAAGCAGAGAGACGCTCAGCAGTTAGGAACCCTGGATGCTCTTCCAGGGGGGCCAAGTTTGGTTTCCAGTGCCTACACAGTGGCTCACAACTGCCTGTAACGTAAAGTTTAAAAATAAAATAAAAATAAAGGAAAAGAAGGCTTATAGGAACTTAGGACAGTTTCCAGGAGAGAAACTGGTAGCCTGATGCCAAATCCTGTTTCTGTCTACAACTCTGCTTGGTCAGCTATACAGTGCTGTTCTTAACCTTTGGCCAAAGCCTTTTTACAGTCTCGTTCTGTGTTGTATGATAGACTGACCACTCACCCCACTGTCTGCCTGGCTCCTTTGGGTAATTGAGTTGGATCTTGAATGATCAGCTAGCTGTATAGCACTAGTTTAGGGACTCCAAAACAAAGCCAGTGTGGTTGATTTTGTTTCCTCTAGCAGAACATCAGTGCTCCAGAGGGCTCTGACCTGTGGTACCGTCAGGCACCTCATGTTAGTTAGACAGCTTTTCTGATTGCCTGGGAGAATTAGGCCACCTATTAGCTTTCATAAGACTGCTTAAATTTTGCCAGGTGGTGGTGGTGGCAACAGCACACACTTTTAATCCCAGCACTCAGGAGGCAGAGGAAGGGGGATCGTTGAGTTCAAGGCCAGCCTGGGCTACACAGAGTGAGTCCCAGGACAGCCAGGGCTATACAGAGAAACCCTGTCTCAAAAAAAAAAAAAAAACACCGGTGAAGTGAGGGGAGGGGAGACTGTTTAAGTTTCAAGGAAGCCTACCAAGTTTAGAGGAAAACTGTTGTGTGTGTGTGTGTGTCAGAATCTATAATTAAATAAATATAGCTGATTCTGCCTCAGCTAGCTATAGGATCTCTCTCTCTCTTTCTCTCTCTCTCTCTCTCTCTCTCTCTCTTTCTCTCTAGTTATCAGATCTTAAACAAATCACTTCTCTAGCTTTCAACATTGCTTCCTCTGAACTGTAGTTCTCTGTAAAACAAAAACAAAAATAAGCTATTCACTGTTCAGAGCTTTGTGGCCTACATTGTCTCCTTCGCATGTTCCGTACTGTATGGCAGAAGCAGCCACAGACAGGGCATGAGCATGTGAGCCTGGCTCTGTTCCGGTAAGACTACATGCAAACAAGCAACACTTGGATGTGGTCTGAAGCCATAGTTTCTGGTGCCTACTGTAAACTAAAACACCACCAGTGAGAAGCAACTGCAGGGTGAAGGGGGAGCTAAGACGACTGTAAGTAGAGCAAGCAGTCAGCAGAGTGCAGCGCCCTGACAGGCCTCCCTCTGTCAATCAGGGTGAAGAGTTTGACCTCAGAATTACTGTACAGTTGAGGCTGACCTTGAACTCCTGATCCTCCTGCCTCTACTTACCTACTTCTGGGATTACAGTGTGAGTCACCACACACACACAGCCGGGGGGACTATTTCGGGCTTCCGTGTGGAGAATGTGTTACAGGGCGAGGCAAGAATGGAAGCAGAGAGAGCAGGTAGGAGGTAGTCAGGTTAGAAATGATGGGTGGTTTTTGTTGTTTCTTTGTTTGTTTTGTTATAGACTAGAGTCGTAGTTGATGAAGAGAAACAGGGAACGGTGATGCCATTTGCTGATAGATTACATATAGAGATAAGGAAGAGACCTTAAGGATCGCAAACAGCCTGGAGTTGATATGGATAGTAGTAAAGATGGCGGCTTGTTGAGAGGGAAGAGAATTAGAAGAAGAGCAAGTTTGTAAGGAATTAGAGTTCTCATGTCTGTGTTAGTATTGAAATACCTTTACACATCATCTTAGTCACAGCTCTGCAACCAGTGGGCTAATTTAAGTAGAGGAATGTCTTTCTCTCTTTTTTTAAATGTAAAAGTGATGCTTTTAATCCCTGAATTATTATGAAACATTTAATATGCATTTGGTATTTTTCTAGAACATGTGTAAAACATTCCAGATGATAGATAAAATAAATTTTTAGTATGTTTTCTACTAAATTTTTTCAAGGGAAAGAAAAACAGCATTAATCTAGAAGCATCTGTTGTTTATGGGGATCTCTAGGTTCAGTTTTAAAAATCAGCTCCTTTTTAAGTATAGTTTGTATTTACTTGGAGTTTGCACTGAAGTACAAGAAATATGATTTTAAGAGGCAAAGAATTCCGAGAATAGCATGTTTGTAGTGCAAATCCCCTTTACACCCCAGAAACTGTGATTTTCTGTCATTCTTCTTGAAGTGAGTGTGAGCACAAATTGCAAATCTACCTAGAACTTGCTTAAACTATCATGGGAAGAATTTCTTATTAAGAGCTACAAAAGCTCTAAAAAGCTGTTTGCTGGCCTTGGAAAATGAACTCTTAAATGTGTGGCTTTGAGTTCAGACTCCTGGGATAGAGCCAGCGTGGGGAGGTTACTGCTGTTGCCACTGCAGAGTCCTGTATGCAAGGCTTATATAATTCACCCTCGTTGATAGAGGGCTTGCCTTGTAAGCATGAGGACCTGAGTTTGAGCTCCAGATCAAGTACAACTGCCTCGTGTCGTGGCACTCAGTGTGTTCCCAGTGCTGTGAAGGTGGAGACCAGAGGACACTGGGGCTCACTGGCCAGCCCCTCTTGCGTAATGGTGAGCTTCATGCCAATAAGAAGCTCTACCTCAAAGGAAATGGATGGCACTTGTGAGGATAACACCTGAGATTGTTCTGCGGCCTCTACATATGCGCACACACACACACACACACACACACACACACATATATGTATGTATGTATATGTATACACACACACATGTGCACACATATGTGCGCCTACACACACAAACATACATACACATTTTTTTTTAAAGTAGCAGGGCTTAGAGAGGTGGCTTAGCAGTTAAGAGCACTTGTTGCTCTTCCAGAGGATCCAAAGTCAATTCCCAGCACCTACATGGTGACTCACAACTGTCTATAACTTCAGTTCTAAGGAATCTGACACCCTGTTCTTGCCTCTTAGGCACCAGGCAGACACATGGTGCATACCCATACATATAAACCAAAAATAAATTTAAATAGGGTTGTTTTGCTTTGTTTTAAAGTAGAGCCCTAACTAACGTCTGTCGTTGGCAACTACAGAATGAATTCTTGACTGCTTTCCTTCTGTGTGTGGTTCTCTTGACTGTTCGGAGTTCCCAGGGCTGCACCTCACCCACTAAGCTGGTGCATGGGGCTAGTTGCAGGAATTGCTGAGGAAGCAAATACCTGGCTTTTAGGTTTCCCAAATGAGAAACAGTCTCACACAAGACCTTCAGTGTGTGAAATTCCCTGGACGCTGCAAGGACATTCCAGTAACAGATGGAAAAAGCACAGATAGAAATACAAACACATCTAGGGCTGGAGCGGTGGCTCAGCAGCTAAGAGCACTGGCTGTTCCCGAGGCCTGGAGTTAGAGCCCAGCACCCATATCGGGTGGCTCACAACCACCTGTGACTCTAACCCCAGGGGATCCCTGCCCTCTGCTGGCCTCTGCAGGCACTCACACACACACATACACATACATATTTTTTTCTTAATCTTAAGAAACAACAAATAAGAAAGAAAGATGGCTCCGTGAATAAAGGACTTGCTACCAAGCCCGAGGACTGAACTCATTTCCTAGAACTTGCATAGTAGGGAGAACCAACCTACAAATGGTCCTGTGACCTCCATACACGAGCCATGGAGCATTCATAAATACACACAAAAAAATAAATAAACAGGAAGCTGGAGAGTTGGATCAGCATTTAAAAGTGTTTGCTTTGAAATCATGAAGAGTAGAGTTTGGACACCTGTATCTGCAGCTCCAAGGCTTTGATACCTTCATCTGGTCTCCAAACCCCACCACCCCCAATTAAAATTTAAAATTCCTTAACAAATACAAGCAAGTTGAGATCTGTCCTGAGGCTTCCTTCTCCTGTAGCTACACATTGTTGGAAACCCCTCATATGGTAATTGGTTTTACATTACACACAGGGCTAGTTCCTAGGTCTGTGGGAAAGGACTTCAGGACAGCTAATAGAACGCATGAAAGCCCTAATCATCCGGAGTAACAGCTTATAAATGAGCATGAGCTGGACTTGATCATGTTCAGAGGAGCTAACTGCATGGAGCAGGCAGAACCATCTAACCTAAAAGCGATTCCAAAGGAAACTGCTTAAAGTGAGATTCCAAAGATCTTAGATGGGAATTTTAAAGTTTTGTCCATATGTCCGTGATTCATTTAGAGACAGACGTTGTCCAGGGAGGCCGAAACGGTACCAGGTTTGTTCTTTGTTTTGTTTTGTTTTTTTTAAGGGCTGTCTTAAAGAGAAATCTTGAATTTAAGTTTAGGAGAAACTAAGGCGGCCTTGTTGGGCAAAAGAAGAAATCACAACTTGAGAGTTTCTTTTTTAAAATTTTTTATGGGTTGTTTTGGTTTTTTTTAGGTTTACTTATTTTTATTTTATGTGTATGAATGTTTTGTTCAAATATCTGTTCACTATGTGTGTACCTGGTGCCCTAGAAGTCAGAAGAGGGCATTGGATCCCTGAATCCATTGGAACTGTAGTTATAGATGGTTGTGAGTAACCCTGTGGATACTGGGAATTGACCTTTGGTCCTCTGCAACATGTGCTCCTAACCACTGAGCAATCTCTCCAGCCCCATGAGTTTCCTTAATAAAAATGTATTTGTTTTGAATAATTGTATTATACTTAAACTCTTTAGGTTGGAAAAGTCAGCATACATTTTTGGCTTAGAATTTAGTGTTTTCTATAGAGGGAATAAAATTTAAATTAAATTTAGCAATTAAAAAAATAGAATTAACAAATATATCTGTAGACTTCCTGTGTAGACATGTCATACAAGCAGCTGCACATACAAGCCTAGGATTTCAGAGGGAAGCTGGTCCTTGGAACATAGGTTTGGAAGTCTCTGGCACATGGCTGGTGTTTAAGGCCAAAGATGAGGGCAACACCAGGCTCAGAGTTGGCAGGGAGGAACGGACAGCAGTAAGTAAGGCTAAGGTGTTCCGGGAGGGTGTATGGGTACTGCCCAAAGTCCAGTGGAGAGCAGAGTGTGAAGACACAGGTGTGCTGCCTTTCATTCACACTGAATTTTTATTCCCAGAGTTCTCAATGCATTACTTCACTGTCTTACTGGTATAATTAATCCAGTCAATAAACAAGCACTATTAAATATAAACTACTTGCTAGGCACAGTAGTACAAAAAGTTTACAGAAACTCCTAAACTTTAATTATATACAGATTCCCTGGAAAGCTTGTTAAAGACAGGTTCCTGGCTTCCACTCTAGAGACTCTGACTTGGCAGGTGTTCCCAGTGGTTGTGATTTTGATGTGGCTATTCCTTGGACCATACTTGAAGAAGCCTGGACCAATAGGAACTATTGAGACATCAGTTTTATTTGTCTGCATGTGATCTGACCACCCCCAACGATAGTTTCAGATGGCATCTAAAGAAGTTTTGAACTAATTATGTTACAAGTATGAGACGGGGGCTAGGGAGATGACTTGGTAGAATGCTTGCCTAGGCTCCTTCCTCATCTTAAGAACGGAAGTATGAGGGGCTAGAGAGAGGGCTAGGCAGTTAAATGTGCCTGTTGTTCTTGAAGTAGAACTGAGTTTGGTTCCCAGAATTCATGATGGGTGGCCCACAACAGTAACTCCAACACCAAGAGATCTAATGCCTTCTTCTGGCCTTGTGGGCACCTGTACACACACACACACACACACACACACACACACACACGCACACGCACACGCGCACGCACGCACGCACGTGCACAGCCACACACATTTAAAAAGAAAATAGTATGAGAATGATAGCAATGTTTGCCACAGTACTGACAAAATAGAAACATATGTTTGTCTCTCTTAACTTCCAGGTAGCTCCACCCAAAAATGATATTACCGTGCAATAAACAATAATGACTACTGCTTATCAAAGCTTTACTGTATTCTAAACATACTGCCAAATATGTCATATTAGAAATATGAGTAGATGCATGGCTGGGAGGGTGACTTAGTTGATAGAATGCTTGCCTAGCATGCACAAGGCCCATGATTTTATGCCCAGCACTACATAAACCTTCTGTTGTGCCCGCACCTGTTAACCCAGCACTTGGAAGGTAGAAGCAGGAGGATCAAAAGTTCATCATAGCACTAGTGAACAGTCTGGGATACATAAACCCCCAGGGAAAAATTTAAAATACATATATTTATCTTTTTAAAAATTATGTGTATATGTGTGTGTCTGATTGTGGGAGATCAGAGGCATCAGACCTCCTTGAGTGGGAGGTACATATGTACGTGTGGTTGTGAGCCACCTGATGTGGTGCTGGGAACTGAATTTGGGTCCTCTGCAAGAACAGTAAATGCTCTGAAATGATAAGCCATCTCCCTGGCCACCTCCACCCCATGGCTTCTCTTGGCCTCTGCCAGCCCCTGCACACAGGTGGCATAAACAAACACACATATGCATAAACAAAAATAAATCTTTTTTAAAAATAGAAAGGAGAGATGGCTCAGCAGTTAAGAACACTGACTGTTCTTCCAGAGGCCCTGGGCTCAATTCCCAGCACCCATATGGCAGCTCACAACTGTTTATAACGTCAGTTGTAAGGGATTTGGTACCCTCACACAGTCATGCATGCAGGCAAAACATCAATGCACACAAAATGGAAATAAATAAATCATTTTTAAAAAGTAGAAATGAGTAGATGCAGAAATCACAATTTCTTTTAAGAAACTTCCAAGTTCTCAAGAGAAATAAATATTTTGTCATTTCTTCATTTAAATGCATTTATGTAAGTAATGTGGGTCTAGGTATGTTATAATATCTTATGAGGTACATATTAGCCTTGCTTCATAAACAGGAAACTAGAGCTTTAAAATGGTTCCTAGATTTTCGCAACTGATACATACCAGAGCCAGGATTTGAGCTCAGAGTTGCTCTTAGCCACTTTATTCAACTCACTGCACAATGAAGAACATTTGGAAATTGAAGAAATATGTAAAGAAGAAAGGGATGTCAGCCACAGTTCGGGTACTCTCAGCCTCTGTTGAAAGTATAGGTATGTTTCCTTCCAGTCTCACAGACCCTTTTCTGATGGTAGATGCCTGGAACAGAGACGGATGAATTCCATACTTCTGGGTCCCCGTGAACTGCACTTCCCTACTATGGTGTTTTTTCTCATAGCCTAGGGTTTATGCCTTCCTATCTACATGTACATTTTTGATAATATGGTAACCTAATGTATGTGGCATTTTGTATTCTTCATGATACTTTGATACTTTTCTTTTGCTAAATTCCATGCAGGTATATACATTTTTTTTTCTGGCTGCTAAAAATTCCATTTCATGGCTTTACCACAATTTAATCATTTCAGTTAGTTATTTAGTCTTAGTGTACGATTGGTACAAACCAGGGGGTGTGAGTGGAGCAGGAGGACAGTCACTCCACTGCTGCTAATGATTTATATTAACACAGTTTTTCTGCAGATATTTAACGGCTTGCACATGTTACTGCCCTTCCATTAGTTCCGAAGGAGCCCAGATGTTTTAATTCTGTTCCGTGCTTTGGACTGTCTTTCCCTTAGGATCTAAGCGCTCTTCCCACAGCAATGCTTACTTTTATGGCTTCTTCAAGAACAAGAGAATAGTTTTGTTTGACACTCTACTAGAGGAATACTCTGTACTAAACAAAGACAAGCAGGAGGAGCCTGGCGTGGAGCCCCGCAGTGATGGCGAAGGAGACAGTGAAGAGATCAGAGCTAAAGTGAAAGTGAGTTCTTTTTCCCTCAGAGACCCTGACTCAGTTTTTACACGCCGATTCTTTGACAGATCATAAAATACCAGTTTCTATGCTACAAGTGAAGTTCACAGAGACCACCAAGTATAAATACTGTGGACACTCTGAAGTTCTGCTGTTTGGGAGAAATGATTGCCTTTATCACATGCAAACTACCTTGCAAACCTTCACAAGATGTACATATTGATATTGAAAGATCTTATTTTTTAAGAATCATGTAATAGCTTTATGTGTGTACACACTGGGACAAACCTGGAAATCAGAAGGACGAGTAGTAGGAGTTGATTGTACCGCTGTAGGTCCTGGGGATTGAACTCAGCTAGTCAGGATTGTGACAGTTGTGCACTGTCTATCAGAAAAGACTACTTGGACACAGGTTTTGGTTTGGACTCAGGTTTAAGGCAATAAATGTCTTTGTTAGCTGGCTGGTGACTACACTGAGTGTAATCAGTGTATCCCCATTGTAGTCACAAATCTTTCTTAGGGTGAACTTTTTTTTTTTTCTTTTAAGATTTATTTATTTATTACATATACAGTGTTCGGCCTGCATGTATGCTTGCAGGCCAGAAGAGGGCACCAGATCTCGTTATAGATGGTTGTGAGCCACCATGTGGTTGGTTCCTAGGAATTGAACTCAGACCTCTGAAAAAGCATCCAGTGCTCTTAACCTCTGAGCCATCTCTCCAACCCCCCTAGGATGAACTTTTAAGCACAAAAACCATACCCTGAGTTGACATGTTAACAAGAACAGTTAGCCAAAAGCAGAACTATAGAAGCTAAAAAGGAAGGTTAGTACAGAACTATGGACTTTGATGGATAGATCTTTGTTTTCATTTTGGCAGGTGGTGCTGCCTACATGCTGAGTTTTACAGCCTGAATGGTACTTCCATCATGGAGTCAGTTGTGCTGAGGTCTCAGGGCCTGCTACAGCAATCACCTTTATCTGATGCATCTCATTGGCCCATATTCCTTTTATGTTTATGATCAAAGCATTTCTACAGGCAAAATAAGAAGAGGAACATTTACTCCTTGGTATAATTGAGACATAGCAGTTAATAGACTTTACTTTGGCAGTGGACAGAGTGGAGACTTGGTCCTGTCATCTAGTCACTCAGGCTCCTTGGGTGCATTATATGATTGAATCAGTTTATCTGTTTTTAACACTTCTTTATGAAATATCTGCTCTGTACTAAACTGCTTTGCTTG